GTGACGAACCCTTGACCGGAAAAGACGTGATCGGGCAATCCTTGAACTCTCGAAGGAGTCTCCTGAGGGGCGAAGCTTGCACCGAGAAACCGTCAACCGAAACGGAGTGCTCACAGAAAGCTTTGAGCCAGCCAAACCTGGCAAGACACCACAAACCGGGCGATGGGTGGCAACACTTCACCCAAAACCGAGGGAAAAAACGGTTGAATGTTACAATGCCGCGAGCAGAGTCATCATGCAGCAAGGCTCCCTAACACCCAAGCCCTAGATTTCTAGATGTTTTCAAACTGGTTCTGACTCGGCACAGTTTCACGACTTCCTGGCTTAAGCCTGAGCCCACAGTGTGCAAGAGTGCAATATACGTCTAGGGGCGATGGGGTCAAACTTTTAACCCAGACCGTCGCGATGTCACGCTACCAAAGCAGGGTTCCGGGAATCCTTCTTCTCTAAACCAGGTGATGCTTGGAACAACCACACCTGCCTCAAACAAGCAACCATTCTCAGAGAGGACAGCCATTTGTCAGTCCAAGCCTGATGTCGTAGTAAGCCGCCGCAAACCTCAAACACGCACAACCTCAATCTCGAAGGAATTCTTGGAGCCATCCCCTCGGCTCCGAACCCTCAGAAACAAGCAAAAACCATACGACGACAAGCCCTAAATTCATACAAAAGCCCACGCAATATTAGAACTATCCGTGGCTATCCAAATTTCAAGCCTAAGCACATATAGAACTAGAAGGAGCAAGGACGCAATGCCTCAGAAAGGGTTGGCAAACCCTGCAGCTTGAAATGCGAGATGGCCTTCAAACGAAAGGCAAATCGTCAATCCTGTGGTGTCGCTATCCGAAAGGCGTGGTGCCTTTTGCTGCAATTATCACGTTGAACGACCTTGACCTGGGATCTCGCCATCATCTTCGGAATGGCCAGGTCTCGGAAACCCAATACTGGTTTGGGGTTCCAGCATTGCAAGGCAGAGTCCGCCACATAGCGCAGGTCCTGACAAGGACTGACTCGACACCCCAGCTCTGAGCTTAGTGTCTCTCTTACGACTCCTGCAGTGTAGACCAGGCGACGGGGCCGCAGTCGGCGTGGGCGTGAGCGGCAGCAACTGGCAGCGATGGCCAAAGGAGAGAGTTTGCGAACGGTTGCAGAAAAGCTGTGAGAAAGTTCGCGCCAGATGCCTCCAGCGCCTTGGAGCGACCGTTCGCAGCGAGGGCGTGGAATCTGCCTCTTCAAGGGGTTCAAAGAGGACCAGACAAAGCAGTTGAGGCCGCTGACCTCTGCGTCTCTGGGTAGGATCTTCGGCCGTCCCGGGTGGACGGACTGCAATCCCTGGACCTCAGTTTTGCGAACTTGGAAGACGGCAAAGCGGCACATGACTCAGTCACGGACCGCGGTTTCCTGCCACTCCGCCCGCAGCTCGGATTGCACCGGTTTGGTCTCAGCATCCCAAGCACATAGAAAGGCAGAGAGAGAGAGAGAGAGAGAGAGAGAGAGAGAGAGAGAGAGAGAGAGCGAGAGAGACAGAGTGCAGAGTGCCGTTTCAGACAAGGTGGTTTCGAAAGAAGCACCGAACATCAGGGTAACGTTCAGCGAGGTTCACGCAACTGCGCGGCCCAGAAGGGTCAGAAGCGTCATGCCCAGAGCCTTCCGATCCGAGCCAGAAACAGAGTCCGAGCTGTCCGATCGCCCCGAATGGTGCCAGGCTGACCGCTCCCAGACCGACGCAAACAGACAGCAGCGGGTCGCCACGACCTTCACCAGCATGACTTCGGCAGCACTCGTTGCAGGTACTGCGAGCCATTCCCTTGGCTCTTTCCCAGCCCTTTGTCAGACCCCGGCGCATGAGCCGCCCATAGACGTCCAGCAGCCCCCACAGAGTGCCACTAACGCAACCAATGATGAAGCCGGTAGCCGTATCACTGCCTCGGCGTGCGCAGTGCTTAAGTATTAAGGGTGCGCTCTGCTCAGTATATAGGCCATGCCCAGGAAACCGAATGTACCAGTGAGCCGAGGCACACCAATGCACGCCAAGGTAATTCCTGGAGAACCCAGCAAGCGCCCCAAGCCTCACAAAATTCTTCTTGAGAGGGAGCATGTTGGAACTAGATAAATCGCTTCCGAAAAACTCGGCGAATGGTTGACACTCGCCGACAGCTTCTCCTTCTATCATAGGAAGATCCGAGAAGCAGATACATGACATAGAGCCACGCAGGGGGTAGCTCGTAGGCAAAGAATATGCAAACCAAAATGCCTTAGAGGTGGCGGACACAAGCAAGAACATCAGAACAGCTTCCTATCCCTGCTTGCTTGCCTCCAACTACCACAACGGCACCAGGTTTCGCCCGAACTCCTGGTTAACTCTACTTCGGGACAAGCTGCCGGATAGGACGTGTGTGTGACCGCTGGGAAATGCATAATCCTGAGTCGCAACAACGCCTCAAACTGCGCCGGATGTCTTCTGAATCAAGAGCAAGCACAGGAACGGCCAGCATTTGGCACCAACAACATGCATGAAAAAGGGCATATGATCACTGAGTCATCAGCTGCTTCCCACAGTGATCCTCACATATGATCGTTGCTGAGCAATTGCTGGCATGCAGAAATCACAGGAGAACCCGCGAAAAGGGACAACCTTTTAGATGCCGAGGTGCCAATGTTCCAAACGTCGGATATCCTGCCGTCATCCAGCCAAATTGGACGTGGCCGCTGGCACATCCACCTGAGCAAGGCAACGACTCGTTCTACAGTCCTCTCTGTGGCCAATAGACCAGGCGAGTCACTTCAGGCCCATGTTGAGGGAGACCTGCAAGCGCAGAGCTTTGAAAGAAGCAGCTGCTAGCTAGCTCTGCATTCATTTGGTATGTGATCTGAGAAAAGCCTGCTGGCGTTTCTCATGGATCAGGGCACACAAGTAAGCTGTGGCCCTCGCGGAAAAGCAGGCGAAACTTGCGACGGATGCCGTGGCTGGCAGGGAGACTGTCCATGTCATCCTTATGCATGTGCAATAGACCAAGAGATTGAAACATGGAAGCAATGGCCCGGCAAGTGCGCGCAGCGGCAAGTTGGAAGGTAAGGTTCTGGGGCGCGTCGAGCGCGGCACTAATGCCCATACTGAATCTGCCAGGCCACACGCCCAGGAGAGGCACGAAAGCAGCCTGACTACCAAACACCAAAAACGCTGGACGATGCTTGCAGATGTTGCAACTTCAAGAACAGAATTTTTCGATCAGCATGGCGGCACCGGCATCAAGTGTTCTGCAACATTATCCTGCCTCCGACGCAGTGTAATGTATCGCGAAAGCCACGGGAAGCCTTGATGCTCCAAAAGGGTTCAAGACTTAGTCATCATGTAGCTTAAAGCAACAAAATCATTGCCCAAATCTGCTAGCATTGTGCAGCATGTTTCTTACATCAGAGAAAAACACTACGATCACAAGTCGGGAAGAATCCAACTGATGTCAAGTCGCATGAAAAGCTGCGGCAGATTCCTGACAGCGAGGCACGACTCCCTCCGTTGGCAAGTCGTGAAACTTCCCTGCCAAAGCCTCTGAATGCAGCGGAGAGCGGCGAACTCAATACGATAGAGACGCCTCAGAAGGCCCAGGCGGGTCCCCCATCTGCAGCTGCATAACATTGACATTTCTACACAAACTTCTTTGCCGGAGGTACCAGTTAGACCACTCTGGCGGCACAGCGCGTGCGCCCTGGACTAGAGGGGAGCACAGTGGCGAGCTGCGACACTAGTGTGCGAAACTGCCGGCCTGAAGCATCAGCTTGTCTACTGATGTGGGAGACGTAGGCGCCGACGGTGTCCCGGGACATGCCTGCGGCTGTCGAACGTGGAGCGGGGACGGCCCCTTCCATTTCCTCCCGGCCAAGCCTTTTCGACATCTTGCGGCACACCAATGGGCAGCTCCGGGGCCCTCCGTGGGGGGGGGAGTTCTGCTTTTTTCAATGCGAGAACTGGGCTCGAAATCGAGACCTCGTGGAGTTCGTCCTTTCGGCGACCGCCATCTAGGTCCCAGTTCTACCCACGCATGCCTCTGACTCTGACTAGTAGCATCCACGACTATTCTGGCTGGAAGGGGATGAATGGAATGCTTAGAGTCTGAGGTGCTTGAGTAGCCCAACTGCTGATCTGCTTCGGCCCTCCTTTGTAATCATCGGACCGATCGTACGATTTTCGTGTGTCTTAGGTTTGAAAGGTTCATGTGCCATGAGCAGTCTTTCGTCCGCGGCACTATCAATTCTTGATTCTAACTTGTACCGTTCTACCGGAAAGCCTGGAGCCCGGCAAATGTTTGCACAGAGACTTGACAGCTCGGCAGGAACAGCACGAACATTCATCAACTGCAGCGCGCGTGGGCAGGAAGCTGCGGGAGGGGAGGAAAGTACTCCTACGAGTCTAGGCTGCGAGTGCACAAGCAACAGCGTCGTCAGGAACTACAAAGCAAGGGCGGCTCGCAGTGTAGAATTCTGTCCGCTCTCGCTCAGGACAGCCAGCATCTGCTTTTGTGTCCATGGCGTCTGACACGTTGAAAACAAGTTTGAGCAAATTTGGTGACAAGCATGCCTTGGAGTGGAACTGCCACAGAGTCTAGGCAAGTGAGACTGTTTTCCATGTCGTTACAAGTGCATGTCGGTTTCGAGAGTTCTTGCTTGCAGTTCTTGCTGGTCTCTGAAGCTTCTGAGGCAGGTTTCTTTCGGGCTGCTTTGGCTTTGCCAAGGACGATGCAGCCGAGCAGGCTTCAAAACTTGAATCCCGTGCGCTTGGGAAGCGCACTTAAACGTGGGCTCGCGTCACGCAAACTTCTCGGGGGCTCAGCCCATGAAGATCCCTAAGGGATCGTGCAGATGGGGAGACGTTCAATACACAATCCGAAGCTGAGGTTTCCGAAAGTCTCGGGTATGAGAGATGTTCGGCCTAGAAAGTCAAAAACTCTCTGCAGGGACGGATGTCTGCAATGGAAACACAGCAATAGAGCCGTGTCGTGAATTCAACCACCCAAAAATTTCCCCTTCGCGTCCAGGAGAAACCCGTTGTTGTCGCTGGGTCTAGACCTCGACAGGTCGGAAGTAGGGCAAAAAAAAGGCTATGGCAAAGAGAGTGTGCAGCACTTGGGGAGGGTTTAGGGTGGCCTCTGGAAGCTGGTGGAGGCCAAAGCATCCAGGCTGTCCCCAGTCCTTGGCGAAGGCTTCCTCTCTCAAAGCTCCCGATCCCTGCGGCCATATCAGATGTCAAGGGGCGGGTTCGCGTGCCCTGTGTAGGGAGACTTCCAGTCCTTGGGCCCAAAAGCACAACAGCTCTGAATGCGCACGGCATTGACATCGAGGATAAACAATGACAGACGCTGGCCACCTGCCTGACTGAAAGCGAAACAGCCCAGGAGCCTCACTAGACAACACTCTACTTGCTCTGCCTGGTACTGGGACAGCTAGGCGGCGGTGTGCTCACGGATCATCGGCGTCATTTGCCGTTGCAGGGGCCGCTGAACAGCGACATCCAAAAAGGAGCCTGGACAGCACCAGCACTTCCCTGCTCCAGCTTCGACCATTGATGCTTAGCTTAGCTAGGCTGCTGCTGCCAGAGCCACGAGGATCCTGCTTCCAGCAATTCTATCGACGAGCTACAAGTTCACCCCACCCCAGCACACCAACTCCCAACGAAGCACATGCAGCCTGGTGCGTTCTTCAGCAACGCAAAGCCAGCGCTGCTGAGCGCGAAGCCCTGACACCGGTCTGTTTCTTGGTATTGGAACTGTTAGAAGCCCATCGCAAGCTACCTCGGTGGTGTCGCTCATGCCCTAACTTGTTGAGTTGAGGAGTGTACTGGTGCTCGTCTGCGAGAGGTTCCTTTAGGCGGAATTTTGAACCACGCTTGGCAAGGACCTTCAATCTTCTCTTTAGGGCACTATCCGTGAAGTAGCTTCAAAGTTGCTTTCGATGCAAAGTTCAAAACGTGACTGGCCCCATGGCGGCATTCAGATTTTTTAGTTGGAAAAAGCAGCCGTTCCTTCAAAAGCTGTTGCCTTGGGGCATGCGACCCGCCTTGGAAACATAATCAGACAGGTGACTTTGAGTGCGGTTGTTCTTACTGTTCTGGGTTATTCTACAGAAGTGCAGCAAGCTCCTGTTACGAAGAATGCATGGCTGGGACAGCAATTCACTAATTCTCTGCAAGTCAATCAAAGGCAAGTATGCTAGATTGAGCAGATAGCACACGAATCGCGACAATAGAAAGCAACTGCTTGGAGAGCAACCGCTTGTAGCTGGCCAACCCTCCATCGTCTGTCAAGCCTACTCACCCCGATGCGAGAGCTTCAAAGGCCTGAGACTTGAAATCGCTAAACCCTAAACCCTAAGCCCCTCACTTTCCAAACTTTAGATTCGAAACCCACTGCATTGCCGCTCCTTGGAGACCACAGGCTTGGGAGCCATGCGCGGGAGCACGGAGAGGTCACCAGCTGAGAATGACCCAAGGAGCTGGCGGTTGGCACCTAGGCAGCCGGAGTCCTTTTGGTAGTGGCAGTGGCAGAGGTCTTGGTCGTCGTTGTGGTGGTGTGGTGGAGGCGGCGGCGGCGGTCGTGGTGGTGGTG